AACAACAACAACAACAACAACAACTCTATCCTGCTTCAGTCTCTGGTCTCCAGAGGGGAAGAGGGCCACCAACTGCTTCTTCAATTCTGGTCAGGTCTGGAATTCTTGCACACAACTCCTCTCAGCTGCAAGCAGGCAAGATTTCAGAATGTCTTTGAGAAGGGTCTCCAGGGAAGGGTGCCACTGGGGCTGCCCCCCTCCACAGGCTTCTGGAGGAGCAATATGCTGCACTGAAGGGAGTGAGGAGAAGGGAACAGGCACCTTGGGTCTCAGAAAAGATCAAATATGTTTCCTGTGCTTCTCCAGTTCTGGTCAGAGGAGCAGCAAGGATTTCAAATCCCACTGGAACCTCAAAAGACCATTAGTTGAGCTCCGTATCCACTTGCCAGGGTTTGTTTGGTTTTTTTTTGGCTGGCCAGAAGCCTTTTGTAGGGAACTAATGAGAGCCTGACGTGCAGTCCTCTGGCGTTTTAAAATTCATGTGGGGCCTTGGGCCTGTGGCCCTCAGGCCTGGTTTTAATTGTTTTGCAATGAACACTCCTAAGCGGTACAGCACTGTTCTGTCACTTCTCTGTATTGGGGCAACTTGGATTGCTGTGATACTGAATGTTGTTCCACTGGTCAAGTGCCTTAATGGTTACACATGGTTGACAATGTTTGGTAGAGCTCACAGATTAAGACAGGCTTGGAAATTGGAGTGGCATCCACTTCCTAAACATGCCTGTGGAAACGCTATGAACTTAGAGAAAGGACAATAGTTATAGTACAAGGTTAAAATCTTTTGTTTGTAGGGTCAGTAATACATGGCACTTAACATATAACACGAAGCCCTTGTCTCCATTTTGGACTTGGATGAAGCAGGTAGACTCTGTATGATGATGCTCTTCTTTTGGTTGAGGATCTGGGTGGATTATTTCATTTAAGCCTCTTGTTTAGAGTCAACAAGACCTCGAGGAGGACACTGCATTTAAGGACAACCCCTTGTCTCCATTTTGGAGACTGGGTGAAGCGACTGGGCTCTGTAAGATGAGCTTGCTTGTTTTGGTTGAGGGTCACTGTGGAATGTTTGGTTGTTTTTTTCTTTAAGCCTCTTGTTGAGTCAATAAGACCTTCTGTTAGGCCCGAGGGAATATAGTTCAATCCCTTGTTACTGTATTTTGGAGGAGCATTTCCTGTAATTCGTACCGCACTCTTCTGTTGCTGTGCTGAGGTAATGTGGGTTTGCTGTGATACTGAATCTTCGACCTCTGGGGTTTCAAAGACAGAATGACTGCCAATCATGGACGATGTTTGCTAAAGCTCCCCATTTTAAGACAGGCAATTTGGAAGCAGGAGTGGCATCTGCTTCCTAAACTATATGCCTATGGAAACTCTATGAACTTGGAGAAATGATAATAATAAAAAGGCCTCAGGGTCTTTTGTTCACAGAGTCGCTATAAGTTGTCTGCGACTCAATGTCAACAACTCAATCCTGCAAATGGAATTAAAATCTCAGGTATGTTGTTATTGTTGTTACATGCCACTGAGTAGCAGACAACTCACAGCGACCCTATGAACACAGAGCTGAATCCTGTCCTATACTATGCCATCCTTAAAATCCCTATCACACTTGAGCGAGCCCAGAGCTGCAATCACTGTATCAAATCCATTTCGCTGCATGTGTCCACAACAATGAGCCTATAAGAACAGTTGGTTAAATGACTAAGATGGTACAAACACAACACTTACTGAGGGAGAGAGGATGAGTCATCATTTAGATCTTTTCTTCAAAATAGATTTCAAAGTGACTTTCAATGTCAATTCATGAATCAGTAATGCATCAAATTCTGCATCTGTACTTGACAGGCCTCACTGGCATATACTGCTTTACTTATCAACAGCCTTTGAATAGCACCATGCTGTCATTAATTGCCACTGTACCTGAGGGCACATACACTCCTTTTAGGCAGATATTCAGAGACACCATTGCTCTTCAGTACTTTGGAGAGGTCCGTAACAGCAGACTTTCCCATCGCAATACACTTTTTTTTATTTCCTGGCTGCTAGTGCCAAGAGTGTTGACCATGGAGCCAAGCAGACTAAAGTTGTTAACAATCTCAATCTCTTCACCATCCATCCTGATGCTGCCAATTGGTTCAGTAATGAGAATCTTTGTCTTCTTGACATTGGGCCTCAATCCATTTTGGAGGCTGCAGTCCTTGACCCTCTGCACCAAGCGCTTCAGGTCCTCCTCAGTTTCAGCAAGCAGGGTTGTGTCATCTGCGTATTGCAGATTGTTGACAGATCTTTCACCAATCTTGACCCCACATTTCTCCTCATAGAGCCCAGCCTCCCAGATAATCTGTTCTGCATACAGGCTGAAAAGGTATGGAGACAGGACACATCCCTGGCGTACACCTTTCCCAATTTTTAACCATGCAGTGTTTCCTTGCTCTGTTCTGACGACTGCCTCTTGGTCCAAGCACAGGTTTCTCATTAGCACGATCAAGTGTTCTGGGATTCCCATTCTTCTCAGAGCCAGCCACAGTTTGTTATGATCCATACAGTCAAACACCTTCGCATAATCAATGAAACACAGATATACATTCTTCTGGTATTCCCTGCTTTCAGCTAAGATCCATCTAACATCAGCTACAATATCCCTCCTACCACGACCCCTTTGAAACCCAGCCTGGACTTCTGGAACTTCTCTGCTGATGTGTTGTTCCAGTCGTTTTTGGATAATCTTCAGCAGAATCTTGCTTGCATGTGAAATTAATGATATTCTACAGTTTCCACACTCTGTTGGGTCACCCTTCTTTGGGATGGGAACAAATATAGATCTCTTCCAGTCCGTTGGCCAAATGCTTGTTCTCCAGATTTCTTGACACAACTTGGTGAGCACATCCAGTGCAGCATCTGTTAGCTGAAATATGTCAATTGGTATACCATCTATTCCTGGGGCCTTATTTTTTGTTAATTCCTTCAAAGCAGGTTGAACTTCTTCCTTAATCACCAGAGGCTCTTGCTCTTATGTTGTTTCATGAAATTCTTCTGTGTCTTCCAATTCCTTTTGATACAGTGACTCAGTATATTCTTTCCATCTTCTTTTAATACTTCCTGGATCATTGAATATTCTGCCTAAAGCATCCTTGATGATAGCAACTCGAGGTTTGAATTTGTTCTTCAGTTCCTTGAGCTTAAGAAATGCTGAGCGAGTTCGGCCCTTTTGATTTTCTGACTCCAACTCCTTGCCACTAGATAATATTAACCTACTTCTCTCTTCACACATAAATTCTCACTTTTCTCATATTCTCAATCACATTCCAACCCTAATTTGTCAAGTTCCTACTCATCCGATCTCTAATTTCCAGCTACTGACAAAGAAAAAAAATATATACATCATAAATTTTTCTATTAGAAATATTATCGAATAAAACTTTGCTTCACAGAAAACATAGGCTTACTTGAAATTGCTGGTTTTGAACTTGTTATCTCTCCCACAAAGATTGGCTCATCGTCATCATCATCCTCAACTTCTTTTACTTTCTTCTGCCATGGTTCCAACTCTTCTTCCTCACATTCCATAAATAGTTCTGCCATTTTTGAACTGTCTAATTTTCAAAAGAGAATCAACTCTTATTTTCAAAATGAAGGGGAAAAAATTTTTTTGCAACAAACAATATTAAATTTAAGATGTAGTTTAACAATTATGGTAACAACAGTAAGATCACTGTCTGAGACCTACACTAGTAAAAGAGACTAACAGATAATAAATGACAGTAATTATTTAAAGTAAACAAAAAATTAGAGAGTCAAATCAATCAAATTAAATTTTAGTCCTATGGCTGGAATAACTATTTATAAAAATTATATATAATCATTATCTGTGAGAAGAAATACACTAGTAAAAGAGAGATAAACTAAGAATAAAAGGCAACAGGCAGAAAACATAATTGAAAAATTGAATCTATTTTTCACTATCTACAATGAGGGTATATTATCTACCAAATAGATGTATTAGAGAAATTCAAGAAAAGACCATATACAGTAATCTAACTTCAAGGAGATACTCAACAAAACATTAAGTTCCTTCCCGTACCAACTCTTGAACCCATTATAATTTCCTCAACAAACTATCCAATCTTATTTTCATTAGAACTTCTTATTCTACTATATGAAACTCATGAATTCATAGAATCTCAACTCTGTGTCTTAATTTTAATGTTGACACTGAATTATGTTCTCCTAAAATATGTGACAACTTGGCTAGGCCATGATTGGTAATATGGTGTTTGTCCTATAGTTTGTGATAGAATGTAATTACCCTCCATTTTTTAATGTGTTACAAAGCCTAGCCTCTAGATCTTAAAGAGAGATGATTAGTGTGGGGTGTATCTTGACTTACAAGAATGCTTGAGTCAAGTTCCACACTAACTTAAGTCATATTCTTGCTTGAATCACACTTTTTACCTTTTAAGAGATAAAAAGAAAGAGAAGCAAGCAGGGGAGAAAACGGCCTCTCTACTAGCAAAAAAAAGAACTAAAAGGAAGAGTACATCCTTTGGATTTACAGTCCCTGAACTGAGAAACCCCCAGTTTCATGGGAAGCCTAGTGCCAAGATATATGTTAATATCTAAGAAACCAGAAAGCATAGGCTGATGAGACAAGCACCTTACTCAACAATTGACAGAGAAGTGCTGGACTTATAACCTCTTGAACTGCTAAGGAAAGATACTTTGTATTACATCAGCAGTAGATAATGAATAGATACGCTTAACTTCAAATAAAGCTTCTTGTAAATGAAGAACAAATTAAGCTCTCTGAGAGTATACCTCTCCAATAAATAGTTTACTAGATACAGTAGGTATATATTATTTTTGTTGTTGTTATGTATTGTTCAGTCAGAACTGACTCACAGCTGACCTATGGCATCAGAATTGACACAGAAGGTTTTGAAATGCTTTAACTCCCATGGAAAAGGCTCTTTTTTCCCTGCAGAGCAGCTGGTGGATTCAAATCACATGCCTGTGTGGGCAATGCAACTCCTTACCACCAGAGCTCCCCTGACCAGCTGGGTTAATTCACCTCTACAAATGACAAAATTAATTTATATCCAGATGGCATACAAAGGTCTTTCTCATTCTTTTATAACAGGAAATGACCTATCCAGGGAATACTGGTAAGTAGTACTTTTTTTTTAAGGCACAAAACAGCATACATATTATGATCTAAATTAGCAATAATCTCTTTATTATATATGTAAAAATTATATGATTATGAATAATAAATTGATAATGGTAGTTGTCTCTGACATAGTGAGGAAACACTATTTCTACTCATTTTTTTAGTGTATACTCTTTCTATTACAGCATTTGTTACTTTGATAATACCATGTATTTTTACTTTGAACGCTTACCTCTTACCAATTCTACTGAATAAAGATGTCAGTACAAAAGCCATGCATACTAATATAAGTCCTGGTAGTAACACTTACTTTTTGGTTGAAAAGGGTTGTCGCCCATCAAGTTGAAGAGTTGATTTTCTGAAATTTGTCACCTAAGTACTGATACATGACACTAGTCAATTTTATGAGTCACTTTAAGTAATACCAAATACTGAAGCAATGAAACACAGGATTCAGAAATTCTTATATCTAATTTTTACTTCCTTCAGACTCACCATGTGACTCCAGACAAGGCAGTAAGTTACGACTCCGATCTCGTTCTACAAAATAAAAATATCTACTATTAGAATAAATATTACTATGTTAGATTTTGGTTTTTTCATATAAAAAAATTTTAATTTGATGGGTCTCACAGTCACATTCAAATCACTTTCCAGAACTGGTTAATTTTTCTGTGAACCCAAATATCCAAAATACAATGGTGACTGTCTTGTGCACTTAACACTTAAATAAATCTGATGGAAAAATACAAATTTTTAAAGCATCCCTTTGGAAAAATTACAAAAGGCCTCATAATGTAACTTTTATTAAATTTGAAGTTTAAAGTACGTTAAAGGGCAGCTGTATTTCAGTGGTGAAATTCTTTCAATCTCTAAGGGATGCCCAGATTTGATCACTAGCTAGTGTATTTCAAGTGTGGCCATCATACATCTTTCAGTACAAATTTGCATATTGTTAAATATTGAATAAGTGTTAGCAGAGACAACAGAGTAGGAAAGAAAGCCCAGTAATTTCTTTAATAAAATCAGCCAGGAAAAAAAAAATCAGCCAGAACACAGAAATTCCATATGACCCAGCTATTCCATTGCTTGGACTATACCCCAAGAAAATGAGACTGAGGCTTAAATGGAGACTTTTATACCAATGTTCAGAGCAGCATTATTCACCACAAACAAACAGACTGAGAAATTATGGTACATTCACAAAATGGAATACTACATAGTACATAGAAACAATGATTTTGTAAATTACTACTAACTACTAATGCAATTCCTCAAGTCAAAACCAACTCGTAACTAACCCTGCAGTAGGTTTTGGAAGGCTAAAAATTAAACGGAAGGAAACTGCCTTTCTTCCCTGGAGCCACTGGTAAAACTGAAATCAGTAACTAATAATAAAAATTAAAAGTGCTACAGCAGAATTTCTTAATAATACAACCAAGGATATGGGACAGTAAATCTCAGAAATAAGAAATGTATAACATTTTGTGTGAATACATCTATTTTTTTCTGGAGAAAACAAGATAATAGATTTTTAAAAGGTAAAGGATCTCCAGGTTTTAGAGGAAATGAACAAATTTTTGGAAACTTGACTACCTAAAACTGAACAGTTCATAAAAACTCTCCCAATAACAACAAAAAAAAGTCCTGGCCCAATTGGCTTCTCTGGTGAATTCTATCAAATATTCAAGAAGACCTCAATTCTACTTAAACTATTTCAGAATATAGAAAAAAACAGGATGCTCTCAAATTCATTCTGTGAAGCAAGCATTTCCCTGATACTGAAATCAGGTAATGAAAATTATACAATACCTCATGAACACTGATGCAAAAAATCTCAACAAAATCTTAGTCAATAGAATTCAACATTTTAAAACATCATGCATCATGATCAACTGAAATTCATGGCAAGGATACATGAGTGAATGTTAGAAAAATAATCAAGTGTAATCCATCATATCAATAAAACAAAGAACAAAACTACATGAACTTATCAACTGAAGTAGAAATGGCATTTGATAAAGTACAACACAATTTCTTCATAAAAACACACAACAAAACAGGAATAAAGGGGAAACTTCCTAACATAGTTAAAAACATACAGACCAAATTGCCGACATCACCGTCAAAGTAGAGAGACTGAAGGCATTCCTCCTTATGAAATGGAATCAGATAAGGACGTCTTTTACAACTACTCATATTTAATACTGTACTGGAAGGTGGGGGGAAAGACAGACAGAAATAGCACTTAAATTGACAAAGAGAATGTAAAATGGTCTCTAGTAAGAAAAAAAAAATATTTCTTGAAACAAATGATAATGAAAATACAACTTACCAAAACCTCTGGAAAACCATAGTAGTAACCACAGGACAATTTATACCAATAAACAATCATATCAAAAAGAAAAAAACTATGATTGACTCTAGCCCAACATCTTCAGCAAGCTGAAAAAGAACAGCAAGAAAACCCATCAACCTCTAAAAGAAATGAAATTATAAAAATCGTTGTTGTTTATTGTCACAGGCCAAGCATGACTCATAGCACCCCTATGAACAAAAGGCCTGAAGCCTGTCTATAACTATCTTCCTTTCTCTAAGTTCATAGTTTCCTGATGCATGTGGTTTAGGAAGTGGATGCCACTCCTACTTCCAAACTTGAATCAATCTGGGAGCTCCACCAAACATTGTCCATGATGGGTAGCCATTATGGCATTTGGCACACCTATGACAGAGTTGTTCCGTAATATCATTTGAAACTCAAATGGCACAAGTTTCAGTGTCACAGCAAACCCAGATTACTTCATCACGCCAAATTGGCCAGAGTCCAGAGTCCTGTACAACTCAGAAGAATGTTCCTCCAAAATATAGTAACAAGGGATTAAAATAAAATCCCTCAGGCCCAACTTTTAAATATAAGGGACCCCCCCCCCCAGGTCTTGTTGACTAAACAAGAGGCTAAAACAAAAAAACAAACAAAAAAAAACCCCACCCAAACAATTCACACAGATTCTCAACCAAAACAAGATCACCATTTTACAGACTCCAGCCACTTCATCAAACTCCAAAATGGAGACAAGTGCTATGGTGTTTTATGTTGTTGTTAAGTGCCATCTAGCACCAACACTAAAGAACTACTGTCCTCCTCCTAAGTTCATAGAATTTCCACAGGCATGTTTAGGAAATTGATGCCACTCCTGTCGTTTTTAATCAGTGAGCTCTACCAAACATTGTCAACCACGTGTAATCATTATGGCATTATGGCACACCATTCAGTATCACAGAATGCTGGGTTACCTCAATATGGAAAAAAAGACATAAAAGTGCTGTACCACTTAGGAAAATGTTCATTTCAAAGACAAATAAAAACCAAGCCTGAGGGCCATAGGCCCAAGAACTCAAATTAATTTTCAAAGAAACCAAGCCTGCACCCTGGGCTCTCATTGGCCTAGAAAGGAGCACAGATGAAAAAAGCCAAGGACTCACCCCCTTTAAGACCACGAGTTTACAAAGACCCCAAATGAATTTTCAAAGAAACCAGGCCTGTACCCTGAGCATAAACAAATTAAATAGAAAGCAGAAAAACAATTGAAACAATCAACAAGATCAGAAGTTGTTTCTTAAAAAAGGTAAAAAAACTTGAAAAACCATTAGCAAAACAAAGGAAAGAATGAAAAGACAAAAATAAGCTAGATAAGAGATGAAAAGGGCAATGTCACAACAGAACCAACTGAAACAAGGTAAAAATGGAATATCATGAAAAACTGTACTCAAACAAGTATGAAAACTTAGAGGTAACGGATAATTACTTAGAAACTCACAAATTAAAAACTATACTCAAACCTAGAAGAAATGGATTTTTGAACTATACTTCAAAAAAAATGGATTTTTGAACTATACTTCAAACCTAGAAGAAATGGATAATTACTTAGAAACTCACAATCTACCAAAACCAACACAGACTGAAGCAGAATATCTGAAAAATTCTTCACAAAAGAAGAAATAAAACAACTTAAAATTAAAAAATAAATTTAAGACCAGATGGTTTTACTAGTGAATTTATCAAACACTCAGAGAAGAATTGTCACCAATTCGACATAAAGTATTTCAGAAAAAGAGAAAAAAAGAGAGACTTCTCCCAGACTCATTCTATATCAAACATATCTTTGATACCAAAGTCACATAAAGACACCACCAAAATAGAAAACTACAAACCAATATCTCTCATAAATATGGATGAAAAAATCCTCAATAAAATCCCGGCCAAGAGAATACAACAGTAGATCAAAAAATAATTCACCATTACCAAGTGGGATTCATAACACATATTCAAGGATGGTTAAACATAAGAAAAACAATGTAATTCATCACATTAACAAAACAAAGAACAAGAATCACATGATCCTATCAATTGATGCAGGAAAAGTCTTTGACAAAATCCAATACTTTTTCCTGTTTATAACACTCAGCAAAATATGAATAGAAGGGAATTTCCTCAACAAAGTGAAAAGTACACATGCAAACTCAAGAGTCAACACTGTCCTCAATGGAGAGAGATTAAAGGCATTCCCTTTGAAAATAGCAATTAGACAAAGATGTCCATTTTATCACCTCCCTTATTTAATATTGTATTTAAAGTCTTAGAGTGGTAAGACAAAAGAAGGAAATAAGAGGATTCCAAATTGGCAAAGAGGAGGTAAAGCTAGCTCTACCTGCAGATGATATGATAGTATACTTAGAAAACCCTAAAGACTCAGGGAGAAAAGTACTGGACATAGTTGATCAATTCAGCAAAGTAGCAGGATATAATAACAATATACAAAAATCAGTTGCATTTCTCTACAGTGACAAAGAGAACACAGAAAATGAGCTAAGAAAAACAATACCCATCATAATAGCTAATCACAAGATTAAATACTTGGGAGCAAATCTAACTAGAGACACAAAAGACCTATACAAAGAAAATTACAAAACATTACTAGAGAAACAAAAAGGGACCTTCAGAAATGGAAGAATATACTGTACTCATGGATTGGAAGACTCAATATCATGAAAATAACTCTTCTGCCAAAAGTAATCTACAAGATCAATGCGATCCCAATACAGATACCAGTGATATTCTTCAACAAGATGGAAAAGGTAATTTTAAATTCTATTTGGAATGGAAAGAGATCCAAACTAAGCAAAGCAATCGTAAAAAAGAGAATAAAAGAGGTAGCAAATAAACTCACTCCCTGATTTCAAATCATAATACACAACTGCGGTGGTCAAGACAGCATGGTACTGGTACAGTTACAACACAGAGAATAAATGAAAAGTACCGAAAAACCAGAAATCAGCTCATCTTCCCATGCTCAACTGATTTTTTGACAAGGAGATGAAATCAGGTAAGTGGGGAAACGACAGCCTTTGTAAAAAATACTGATGGCAAAATAGGAACACCATCTGTAGAAAACTCAAGGAAGACTCACACTTTACGGCATATATATATACCAACTCAAGGCGGAACAAGGACCTAGGAGTAAAACCAACCACTA